GTGTGTGAAGGGCCTGGTGCCACAACATTTGTGCCGTGTGTGAACTGGTGCTGGAACATTAACAGCGTGCAGTTCTGTCCAGTCGCCCGTGAATCTTCGTTAAATCTGTTCCATCGACCGCGGGGTGAAGCATTTGGATTTTAAACCAAATATACTGCGGCAGATCATCTGTCACAGAATGGATTCTCTCTCCGTGGTGCTGAAAATCATAGAATTGCTTCAGACTCTGTCCGTGGTGCTGAAACATTGATGAACAGCCACCCATTGTTCACTGGTGCTACAGAACTCCGCCGTGTCTCCACTCACCCTCTCTCTTTTCTGAGTCGGCCAATGATGAAACTGATCTTTTTTATATTATTATGGCATTAATCATTAATATTCTGAGTGTAAAATTTTTATCCCCTGCAGTTGACTGAAAACGTTGACGACAATGCAATAAATCTCAACTAAGCAGAGGCAGAAATAGCGCGACGGTTGGCAGACGCTGCACCTGTTGACTGTGATTCACGACGACAGTCGTTTCCCAGGCTGTTTATTACATGTCGGCTGTTAACGAGCTGCCACACAGAGTCCGCTGCGGGATTCACCTGAGTGTTTACGACCGCGCTAAAAGACGGGATTTAACCAGGGATGTACGATATTTACTTTTTGTCGATATCCAATATGCAGATCATTGTTTATCTGCCCAAACCACTGACAACAACATCCTCCATACAATCCCCTGATTATTAAAACAGATGAATAAAATGAGCTGCAATGCTGCCATCTAGTGGCTTTTACTTTCACATACAGCCGATTTTCCCCAAATCTAATTTTAGGCCACACATAATTTGGCGAAACCCAGGCATCTATATCAGTTTTTTTCTCCGATAATGAAAACCCGATTACGATTCTAACAGATATTTAGGGATGTGCGATAATATCGATATTAGCATGTTATTTAATAGCCGGACGACTTGTTAACGGTTTTTCCTCCGATAATGAAAACCCGATAATGCAATGCCTGGGTTTCGTGTAATGATGTGTTTTGGGGATAAACAGCTGTATATGAAAGTGAAAGCCATAAATATTACCAGGCCTATATCGGTATCGGTTGAAAATCTCAGTGGTTTGTACAGATAAATAAATAAATATTACCAGGCCTATATCGGTATCGGTTGAATTGGAATCGGAAATTAAGTGTTTGGATGATATCGGCATCCCTACAGATATTACATAATTAAGCAAATATCGGCCAATATTATCGGACATCCCTGAAAAAATGTCACGAGGAAGAACAAGTTTGACTCAGTTTGATTGAACAACAATTCTGAGATCAAATCAGTAAAAATGCAGGGATTTTCCAATTGAGTTTAATAAAGAACCGTCAGTCTGTGGAACTCTCTCTTCATTAGGACCCAGAACCGATTTAAAAACCTTGGAAAACAACAGCGCTGACTGCTGGAGTGTGAAAGTGCTCCTTTTTTCCCCCCTCTCTTTCCAGCCGTTCTTTTCAATTATTGTCACTCTTCTCCTCCGACAGAGATACGTGAGGCTTTCAAAGTGTTCGACCGCGATGGGAACGGCTTTATCTCCAAGCAGGAGTTAGGAACGGCCATGCGTTCGCTGGGCTACATGCCCAACGAGGTGGAGCTGGAGGTCATCATCCAAAGACTGGACATGGACGGTGCGTTCATCTGACCCTCACAGGACTCCGTGCTCCGCACACAGAACCAGCGTATGAGCCACGTCTGTCTCTGTGTTTTCTCTATCAGGCGACGGCCAGGTCGGCTTCGAGGAGTTCGTCGCGTTGCTCGGGCCCAAACTCTCCAGCACTGGGATGCCGGACAAGTTCCACGGAGCGGATTTTGATTCCGTGTTTTGGAAGGTAACCTGCAGTGTGTGCAGAAGGAAAAAAAATAAAAATACCAAAACGGAGAGACAACAAGGTGCAGTACATTTTGCATTTGGGAGGACGGGGCGGGGGGGGCGCTACTGCTGCAACCATGGCCGTATTTTTAAATGCTGTAAAATATCGTAGTACTCTGTTAGTAAACTGTTTGACCAAAAATATCATTTTAAGAATTAAATTGAAAATTTTAAAAGCAAAATCTAATTTTTTATTCACACTATTGACTAACAGTGTGGGCCGGAGATGTGGTGTCCATGGGCCACAGGTGGCCCTCGGCCTCTATTTTGAGACCCCTTTTACAATTCAAACTGACAAAAGAATTCTCTTAATTCCAGAAAAAAAAAAAAACATTTAGCAACTGTTATAAACTTAACATCTTGGCTAAAATGCAGCCCCAAACCATTACAGAGCCAGATGGGGTTTTTGTTGTACGTTGTCGTCAGTGTTTGTCAGACGTTTAAATATAAAGTCTTTGTTCTCCGTCCACTCAAACCGTCAGTTGCGTCATGAAATAATTAATTTCATTCAGTTACTGCCGACCTGAGGGACGCTGGGACAAAAGCTAAAAATGCTAATGAGATCTGTTGTTTCCCAGTGCGACATGCAGAAGCTGACGGTGGACGAACTGAAGAGGCTTCTCTACGACACGTTCAGAGACCACCTCACCATGAAAGACATCGAGAACATCATCATCACTGAGGAGAGCCACCTGAACAGTACAGAGGCCCATGTGGCCATTGACAGTACGTACGCCCCCTGGGGGTGGATGGGTGTTTAGCAATTATAATAATAATAATAATAATAATAATAATAATAATAATAATAATAATAATAATAATAATAATAATAATAATAATAATAATAATAATAATAATAAATCTATCTAACTAAAAAACGTATTAAAAAACGATAAACAAGACCACTTCACAAAAGCAAGAAGGGTAAAAAATACCACAGACAGACTGAGGGGGCAGTGTAGTTGAAAGTCATTCTGAATATTGCGAATATCTGGAGGAAGAGACGAGCAGAGGGTGGGTGACGCAAAGGTGGGAAAATGGTTTACTAGGGCTGGGTATCACGATACCATATCACAGTCTTTTGCGATAATGATAATATCACGATATAAGGATTCTGCTATAATTGATATATTGCGATGCATTTCATCAACGATACATGAGAATATCTGTGTCATCGGTACCACAGGTTGTTGACCTCTGACCTGAGCCCAAAAAAAAAATCTCTCTAAATTCTAAAACTTTTCTCTCGATTTTTTTTTTTCTTTCCTCCACAGCGAGTCCGACACAACAGGAAAAACACACATGTGTGCGCAAAAGCCTGATTTGTGCCTTCGCCATTGCGTTCATCATCAGCGTGATGCTCATCGCAGCCAACCAGATGCTCCGCAGAGGGATGAAGTAGGTCGTCCGCCGATCCCGACCCAGACACGCGGGGGAGCCGGAGAAAAAAACCAAATGTGAATCCAAATCCTGCCCATGTTGAATGTTTTATTCTCTACAACACACACACACACACACACACACTGTGGGCGTGGCTCCGCAGATCCTGATTAGACAGAAATACAAACGCCTGGAGAGAGAAGCCTGAGAAAAATAGCTCAAATTTCCGTAGGATTCCTGGATCGTTAGTCGAAGGAAAAGCGTTACGCAGACGACTCCAGTATTTCAGTGTACAAAACATACAGTAGTGATCGCTGTGATCGATGTTTAAAATGTTAACGCTTGATGTTTGTCAAATAGAAACAGGGGTCCCCAACCCCTGGTCCGGGGACCTGTGCCGGTCCGTGAGTCATTTGGTACCGGGCTACAGTGAATAAACGTACTTCAGTTCTACTAATTGACTTCATCGCGAAATAATCCCGTCATGTCCCTGTACTGTTTTCATTCAAAGATAATCTGTCAATGTTTCACAACAACAGGTCAAAGGTCATTCAGACTCTTGTACTAACAGAAGAAAGTCTAAAAAAAGTTTTATTTTGAAAATATAATGATCTTTCAACGATGGTCGACCGGTTCTTGGTACAAAAACCGGGTTGGGGACCACAGGTTTAAAACACTGCAGTTTAGAATGCACCTAGTAATAATGTCTAGTACTGACGGGGTTAGTACTGCACAAATCAATACACGGAGTATAACGTGCCACATTCAAATACATGTTGTTCTAAGGAGGGTCAATATAACAAATACTACTGGATGAGGTTTTTTAATGTGAAGAGTACTGCAGTAATCGAAGTGAAGGCGTCAGGTGTAGTGATGTGATGACAACACAGGAAGCGAGAGAGCCTCGAACCCACGACACGTGTGGAACTCCGGCAGCTGTGTACCAGATCAGAGTCCAGGTGTCGTCACTGAGTTCTAAAACATTCATCGGTCTTTGGATTTATTTTTTTTACGGCGGAGCAGCTGGGGGTTCGGGTTTATGTCTCACAGCTGTTTTCCCAGGTGAGATATGAACTGCTGCGAGCCGAAGAAAAAAAAAGGAAGATAAATTCCATCGAAGTAGACGCTTGGAAATCAAATTGAAATCCTTCCGGCGTGTGCATGGCTGTGCATGCACTGACCCTCCTACTGCAGCGATGAACTAGGTTAGGACCAGGACTAGGACTAGGACTAGATGTGACGTCATCAGGTACAACAGAAAATTAAAGACACACAAACACCACGAGCAAAAGAGTTGGTTCAGACGTTACCGACGACTGTAGCTTCACCGGAATGATTATTTACCCGACGACGAACAGAGAACGATTTTTATTGGTTTTAAATTAATTCTGTTGCTCAGTGATTGAGTCGAGTCAATTGTTTATGGGGAAAAAAAGAGGAAAGTCAATATAATCAATCAATCAATTTGGAATTATTTTTATATAATAAAAGTAGAGGATAATGTGTTCATGTATTTATATATACACATATATGTGTGTATGCTCTTGTATATGGACGCATACAAATATATGTATATACATATATATGATAGTCAAACCCGTTTTATTATACTAATATCAAATAAAAATGAAATATATTGATATATAAATATACGTATATATATTTATATATATGTATGTATGCATGCATGCATATATACAAATATTTATGTTAATACATGTGTATATACATATACATAAATGTATATGTAATATAATGACCAGGGATAATGACTGAAATTGACGATTTCTATAAAGATATATTAATATATATATACTGTATATAAACATATATGTATGCATGCATGCATACATATATATAAATATATATACGTATATTTATATATCAATATATTTCATTTTTATTTGATATTAGTATAATAAAACGGGTTTGACTATCATATATATGTATATACATATATACATTATACAACAATACGTTTATATATACATACATATATGTGAATATACTGTATGTATATAATAGTCAAACACATTATCCTCCACTTTTATTATATTTATATAATTCCAAATGTATTATATTTACCTTCCTCTGTTTTTTTTACCCTATCAGGGGTAAATAAAGGCTGGTGCGTGTTGTCTCCCAGTGGAGAGGAGAAAAAAAAAAGAATATTTTTAACATGAAAAAATCTCCAGGAGCTCGAGAATAAAAAAAGACAATGAGGAAGACGACAGAGGGGGGAGAAAAAAACTGACTGGAGACAACAGGAAGGGGAGGAGGAGGAGGAGGGGGAGGGGAGGGGCAGATCCCTGTCCTAAAATAAACGTCAGGACTCAGTGACAAACCAACAAACTCTTCCTGAACTTTTATTTTGAAGGTGAACCAACTTCTCTGTTCACGGGGTTTGTAGCTGTGTGTAACTGTGCAACCAGACCAATCAGCTGTGACCACACTGCACTGTGTTACCGCTACTACACCATTACTGCACCTGTACTCCACCGCTACTACACCTGTACTCCACCGCTACTACACCTGTACTCCAACGCTACTGCACATTTACTCCACCGCTACTGCACCTGTACTCCACCGCTACTACACCTGTACTCCACCGCTACTGCACCTGTACTCCACCACTACTCCACCGCTACTTTACGGCTACTCCACTACTGCTCCACCACGCCACCACCTGGTATTCGTTGGTTATTCCTACAGCAGCTCAGTAGTGAGGAGTTCACACACCTGCATGGACACGATGTGAAAATGTGTGTTTGCGTGTGTGTGTTTGCGTGTGTGTGTGTGCACGTGCGTGTGTGAAGTCAAATTTCCGAGTGATGTATTTAATAATTATGCAATTTGTAAAGTGGTCATGGCAAAAATAATCTCAGTATTTGACATGTAAATGTCGACTTTTGTGGATGTGCAAACGAAATACTAAATACTCGGTACTGCAATATGCTGTGAAGAATAATTTAACATATCATCAGAATGTGGTTTTATGGCTTTTTTTACATGGAACACCAAAACAACACGCTGTATCGTTTAAAGTGTAACACGGTTATATTTTCATACTTGGAAAAGAGACGCATTAAACCAGTGCTGTTGTGATGTAACATACATTTTGTACAAAGAGATAATCAATACTAAATATATATCTAAATATATAAAAAAAAATCAGGTTTATTCTGATTACTTAGGAGTATTATTTCCAGTTTAACTGGAGATTTTTACCACCTTCATGTACTTACGTGCTGTTTGTTGAACTGATGTCAATTGTTTTTGTCGACTCTCGACTGAAGTTTTACTAAATGTCATATATTTTTCTCTCTCTTTCGATCTGATTGTTAATCAAAGCTGGACGGCGAGAGGAAAATTACGAGACGGAGGCAATAAGTTCAAAGTCGCTGCTAGTATATCATGAATTTACATTGTGTGAATACTTCGTAGTACCATATGGGTTTGTGCAAGTATAAAGTATATATTTAATGTGTACAATCTCGTCTTTAGACATATGACGAATACTGTGTTGTGTCTGAACTGTGTTGCGGTGTTTTGCGGAGTGGAACTTTGTCTCTACTGTTGCTGTGCGTTTGATTTAAGTGTTGACATGTTCTATTTTGGTGCCTTTGTTAGAGCAGTGATTCTTAACTTGGTCAGTAGTTGGCGCTAATTGACTTCTTGGAGATTCTTCCAGATGTTACAGAGAAAAATAAAACACTCAAAAATTTGAAATCTATGAAATTTCCAGAAAGACATCTTAAAAACTAGGGATGTCCAATAATATCGGCCGACTTATATTAGCGGTCCGATATTAGCATAATTATGTAATATCTGTAAAAAACGTTATTGGTTTTTCTTCTAATAATGAAAACCCGATCACGCAATGCCAGGGTTTCGCCAAATGACGTGTGCCCTAATAATCAATCCTAGTTCTTCTGATGATCATGATCCTATTTAGATGAAAACTGGAGATAAAGCACAGTCCTTACTGTGGTGCGTATGGTAACCATTCCCATGACTCCCAAACTAGGCCCAGCTCCTGCATGTATGGGTTCGAACCGACAACCACAGTGGACGTCACGGCCTGCAGTTGTACCTGGAACTTTTGTGTGCATGTAAAAAATCTGAATGTGTGAATTTGAAAAAAAAAAAAAAAAAATTGTAAAGTTCTCACTAGTCAAGTCTGTGCATGTTTGCAGCTGTGGGGATAATTTTCGTGTCTGTAATAAAAGAAATCTGTAGAAAAAAATAATTTTTTGTCAGTGAGTTTTTATACAGTGTGTTCAGCTCAGAACTGCTGCTGCCGTTGCCTGGTTGCCTGGTTGCCTGGTTGCCTAGTTGCCTGATCGCTGCTCCAGTCTTGGTCACAGCTGGACCTTTGTTCAAGTCTAATTTTCCATCTTGGTTCCATTTATTTTTGATTTTATTTAAATTTAAAGAAAAGCTTCTTTTTTTATCCTTTTTTATAGTTTGCTGCCGTTGTCGTTTTTAATAGGTTGTTCGTCCGTGTACTGAGTATTACTGTGTTCATCGCCCCCTCCCCCCCTCTGAAGGCTGAGTGAACCTTAACAAAGACAGAAACATTCAAGTGAACAACGTCAGGAGCAGCACTCAACAAATCAATGATTTTTATAATAGGACTAAACCAGAACGACGTGAGTGGAGAGAAAAAAAAATCTATTTACTGGAGAACATCTGCAGGGAAAGTAAAAGATGTTTTTCTCTATTTTAGGAATATGTTTTTTTTAATATTTTATGGGGGCCAAACCGCTTAAATCAAAGCATCAAAGAGCACAAACGGGTGAATAAACTGACGACCGATTGTCTGTGATCAACAGCAGGGAGGAAAAAAATTTTTTTTAAATGTTTGAGTCGGATGGAAGAGATCGCAGAGAAAATCTCTCAGCTTTGATACTTTTAGATTGAGAGATATAAGAGGAGAATTCCCATGAAACGTACCAGCAATGTCTTTATTCTTTCATTCAGTCATGGAATTTTCTCTTCATTTCTGGGAAGTCAGTCATATGTTTTTAGGAACTGTGGGGTTAAAGAGGTTGTATCACTGAAGAGAAAAATTTTGTTTGGAAAATAAGCAGCAAAGAAGAAGATGAAGAAGAAGCGTTTGTTCGTCCAGTTCTGTACTTTAACACTTTAAATTGAGTTTTCACCGAAGACTTCAGACTCTAGATTGCATTTCACCGTACAACCTTCACTGGAGGTACTGTATGTACTCAGTCGTACTATACCGTCCTCTACAAAAGAAAACACACTGTGAAGGAACATTTCATTTCAAATGTTTAAATCTAACGATATATTCTGCCCTTGGAGCGTTCAGAAAACTACGTTTAAGATTTTTTTTTCCCCTACATTTTCTGACTCACAGAGTGTTTCTGTGAGTCAAAAGGTTCTTTGACAATAAAAAAATCAATCATCTACATATTCCTCCATTTATGTCTAAAATCTTTGTAAAGTTTCCATCAGAGAATTCCTTCTTTGTACTCTTTCTAAAGTTTCCATCGGAGAATTCCTTCTTTGTAGAATTCTTACTCATCAAGTCACAGCCTGTAAAAAAATTACATAACTACAATATTTCAGAGGTTTCCTTTAGGGGTCGCTAGTTGCCACTTTTATATGTAAATTACTGCAACTTGGAGTATCGGCCGATGCCGATATCAATCCGATACCTTCTTTTTTTACTCCATAATGCCACAGGTTTCCGTTGCTGAGGCGATACCGTCGCTGTTTAGGGCACGACGCGCAAAGTTGAGTATTTGGGCTAAGGTATCGTATCGAAAAGGACTAAAGTTGATTTACGGTGTTCGATCCTCTAATTTAGAACATCGGACCGATACTGATCCTGAGAACCAGATTGATCCGTTGCTCATTTCCTTTGTTTGATGTTTTCTCAAAATTTAATTTTTCATTTTCATTTTGATGTGTTCTCAAAATTTAATTTTTCATTTTCATACAAAACCCGACAGCGCGACAGCTGACCGTGAGAAAAAGATACGTTTTGTTGAAGTTGCCCTGCTGTCAGACCAGACCTGCTGGTATTTACTAGTACAATTCCACACAAATATTAGGCAGATAAAGATCGGGAACCGCGTGTTTGATTTGTTCACAGCTGCATTGTTTGACGGAAGTGAAGTGAAAAACACTAATGCGTCGGTTTAATTCCTAATCTTTTATTCAAAAAAATGGGTCATTTCAGCTCTGGTTTGATTTTCCCATCAGTGTAAACAGACACGGAGACTTTTGATGAGGGTTGAACCGACAACCCAGCAGCAGCAGCTTTTATTGTGCAAAAACATTTCATAAACAATGAAAAACAACATTTGACATAAAGTTTTATGGTCGTCAAAAGTATGAGATCTATTTTCTCTGCAGACTCTTCCAGGCGGCTGAGATAAACTGGAGGGAATTAAATCAACGATTAACCTGGTATTGCAGTACTTCAGTATAAACTGCAGTTCTTCGGCTCAGCCGTGCTGCATTCTGGATGGAAGAACTTGACATGAAATGAGTCCCAGGACAGGAATCTGTGTGAAAAGCTGCTGATCGGTGGAGAAACTGAAGAAACACAGACGCCGTTAAAACGTCAGACATAACAGAGAATTATGAGCCGCGTTAAAAACTGCTCCTGTTTTATAGAAAACAGACAAATTAAAAATACAAATCCCCATATAGACCACATCACTTCAGCCAGTGTCTCCCAAAAAATTCTAATTCTGAAAACATCCCATGGTGCACTACCAAACAAAAGTGTGAAACATAATGATCTTCCAGTTTCAGATGACGATTCACGATTAATTTTTAAAGTGTGAAACTGTGACCTGTTTGGTTGAACACAACACTGAAATACTGGCAGGAATTGAGTAAAGTCACACATGAAGAGCTGAAGGTCTCTTTTTTTACTTTGTAATAGTAATCTGCTGCCACCTAGTGGGACTGTATTTAACAGTTTCACCTGTCACTGTCCGACAGAAGAGTGAAGAATAAATATAACAAATCTAACATCTGCAGTAAATAAATTATAGTTTTCAGTCAATAGGGGGAGTCATTGGGCAGGGGTCACTTCTTAAGCTAACCTTTTTTTTCTTGACATAAAGATAAAGATACGCGGCAGTACATCTCTAGAATTCCTCACCGTCATTTATCAGAAATCAAAAACCTCTCAGCCCCAGGTGGTCTCCACTCTCAGTTTCCAGCGGCCCAGAGGAGGAGGCATCAGTGAGGGCGGGAGATCGGGAACGGACAGAAGCTGCGGAGGTACGTCGTCGTCTGTCGGCTCTTCTTCACTCATGTCTTTGTCTTTGAGTTCTCTGTAAATGAACACCGTTTGATTCTCCATCAAAGAAGAAAAACCACAAAGAGTTGGAGGACGAGTCAAACAAATACGGAACACCTACCCTTCACTACTGAGGGCGCTTCGCCTCTTCTCTCTTCTGGAGAGCCAGTCCTCGATACTTCGTCCTCTTAGCTGTCTTTCCTGAGACTCCTCAATACTCTGTCTTTCACCTAAGAATGGAGTATTTGTGGAAAATACTCCGTAAAGTATCAGCCGTTTTGGACAGGAAATGATGTATTGTTGCATCTGCTGCAGACATTTAACAGGTGTCACAGTCAGACTGGGCTCCCTGGACGATGTAGTGCCTCTAGTGTCTGTACGACCCAGAGGCCACTGTGCCTCCGAACTGTCATAAAGAGATGGCCTTGGGTGGAGCTTACCTTGCACATGTCTCTGTAGGTTAAACATCTCCTGTTCAGACATGTGAGAAAACCTGCAGTTTGGACCAAAGTCACATATTCCTACAGAAAAGAAAACAAGGTCCAGAAATGAGTACAGTTTGGGTCATTTTTTTTTCTTTTTTTAAATTGATGTAAATTTGATCAAGTGCACAGTTACCCCTTTGGAGAAACCTTCTGCATGGTTTCTTGGTTTGTTCATCATGAAGGACGGCTGCAGCGTCTGTTCATCGTCCAATGAAAAAAAACATATATATATACAGTATATAGAATTAAATTTTAAATAGTAATCTGAACTTAATAATTAATAATTGAGAAAACATTTCTATTTATTACAGGGGGGGAAATATTTGTACATTTTAAAATCTATAAAAATGACAGAATGAATGATATTGAATAAAATATATCAAGAAAAATATGCTGAAGTATAACTACAATTTCAATTAAAAAGTTTTGAGTCGTGTTTTCTATTCATCTCGGGGGTGCACATTATTCACACATTAGTCAGAAGTTTCTTTCAAAACGTTGTTGTCCTCAGCAACAGCAGAATCATTCTCTATGCAGTGCATACCATTATACGTAAATAACATGTTACTTTTGCCAGCTCTAAATTATATTCATAGTGTCGCTGGTTGAAGAGACAGACAATAACAACAGTCTCTCACCTCTGAAATTGTCAAACCAGGCCTTTTTAGCTCTGTGATGCTGAACACCATTCAGGTGTTTTTTCCTGTTGTGCATGTTGTCCTGAAAGGACCTGTCGCAGTAGTCGCAGTAGTACCTCTTCCCCATGGTGCAGTTTGTGTGTTCAAATCTCAATGTCACCTTTTAATCCTCTAAGAAGACAATAAAAACACTGGCGTCAGAATTTACTGAAAGTGACGTTGCGTTAGCAAACACACAAAGAGAAGTACCACCTCACGATGACGGCACTTTGTCATTGACGTAAACACATTAGCTGAAGAGGCGACATCATTCACACACGGCCGAGCAGCGAGTCCGATTCTATACTAGAATCATTCATTTGACTTTTTTTTATCACATATATTTATCATATTTTTTAAAGAAGTTTTTGTTTAATATAAATTCTGTTAAACTACTACAACGTTAACAGAGCAAAAAATGTTTTTTTTATCTTGAATGAACAACCAAAGCATTTTAATAATAAAACAATTGAAAATAAATAAACACAAAATAGAAATCATCATAAAAAGAGCAAAATTTAATTTTTAGTTTTACGGACTAGAAGGGCCCCCCCGGCCGCGACTTTGAAAACCCTAGTATCACATGATGGACTTAATGGCCAATACCATTGACATCTGGTGATGGGCCAGACGTGGGGGTTTTACGGACTAGAAGGGCCCCCCGGCCACGACTTTGAAAACTCTGGTATCACATGATGGACTTAATGGCCAATAAAAGTATGACGTAAACAAGCAAAATTTATAATAGGATGAAAAAAATGAATGTAAAAAAGAAGTTGACAAACAATATGTTGTGGTTTTTTAATTAAAAAATGGAGATCACCTTGGCAACTGAGCCCAACAGGTTTGAGAGTTTGGACAAAGTTGGATTTGAACATCTGACCTTTGCGTGACAGACGAGAATCAAACCACTGATCACCATATCACGCTCTTACAAACTTCCTTTGTACATTCATTATTTTACAGTATTATTACCAACCTAAAAATAAAGGTTAAAGAGAATTTTGCCCTAAGACACGAAAGTTCTAACTATGGAACATCAACAACTAACGGTATTCTCGTGCTGCCACCTCGTGGCAACAAAACCGAGACGCTTTCTTATTTTGAGCTTTTATAGGACCTCCATTCGAACTCCGGTGAATCACACGTTTAATACACGTTTACAAAATAACGTCTGTTGCGTTGCGTGAAACCAGTTTTCTATATATTTTAAAGACCGCGCGCCTCTAGCGATTGTTCATGAACTAGCATCAATTATCATCAATTATACACTTAATTCAAATAAAATAGTTCAAACCATTGAAGTGCGGCTGTCCTTAGTTCACACTTTCTTTCCAGATCGGGCAGCGACTGCTAAGAAAGAACTCAACAATTCGTTTGTAGCACATTTTTCTTTACTACATTTCCTGCATCGTTAGCCGACACCGGAAATGTTCGAGCTGAGCTTCTGAGGCGGAAGTACATTGTATTCCCCGGTCTTGCGCAGTCACATCCACCGTCATGGCGCTGGTTCGTTCCTTCTACAATGTTTTCTTCAGGCGAACGTCTACTTTCGCCATATCCGTCATGGTTGGAGCGGTACTCTTTGAACGGATATTTGACCAAGGTGGAGACGCCTTATATGAATATATGAACCGCGGGGTAAGTCGTTTGCTGCTGTGAAGTTTGTTCATTTTTGTCCTGACCTTGCTATCAAAGGGCGAAGTGGCGTTACCCTGGCTAAGCTAAGCTAACTTAGCCGCTTAGCGGTTGTGTCCTGAAATGTCTGAAAACTGAACTTAAACTGAAAATTACTTACTTGAAATAATTCTGCAAGCGCAAGATGTAATTGTACCTATTTTTTTTTTATTTAGAAACTGTGGAAACAAGTGTAATTGTACCTAATATACTTTTTTTATTTAGAAACTGTGGAAACAAATCAAACACAAATACGAAACCGAAGAGGAATAATGTAGGACGCTGCCAAAGGGTCACCTAAGGCTGAACGTGCAACACGTCTGTCAACCATCCAACACCCATTCTTCTTCTGATACTCCACACTATAAAACTATGGTCAACATGGACACTGTGCTCCAAATCCATCTCCCGGCAGTTTCGGTTATCTGTGGACGGACCGGTTCGAGCTGAGTACTGTCCCGACCACCGTGAAGATGGAGCAGTGGTTCCTGTCACCCCCCACCAAACCTTCTGTCCTTTTGTTGTTTATATGTAATACTCTCCTTGATTTGGATTGTACATGGATAAAGTAAATATGTATTACACTGTCACTGCTCTCAAGGTGTCTTATTTAATTTATATAATTGTGTGTCATTATTACCCAGATGGTATTAACAAGTAAATTAAAACCTAGAGAACACATGATGGAGTTTTGGGGCTTTCTCAGATCAACACAGCCTTTTCCTTGTGGAATTTGAACAGGCAACCTTTCTGATTCCGAGCTCTATTTTACTCTATTTTAACCCTTTAACTCTTGTGCACGTGTGAGCTCTACGGAGATTTAGCAGTGTTTAAACATAAATATTAAATCAGATTTAATAGAAAAAATGTGTATGTTTTTTAACATATGAACATGTAACTGAATGGTGACACTATTTTTTTTTCTTGTGAACAACAATGCCTATATAACTGGTTGTTTATTATTTTATACTTACAGTTGAATCAAGTATGGAATAATATTTTTTTTAATAGAAATGAAAAGGTAGATTTCAAAGCAACAAACATTAACACCACAACCATTTGCCCCGGTACAGGTTAGCTTAGCTGTGTAAGATGTTAAATATTTTCTTTCTTTTTTTTTTAAGTATTCACTGACCTGTTTTGGGGAGGGCTTTTTATTACAGTACACAAACAGTTCTGCCTGAACACTTTTCATGTCAAAGTGTCTGATCATACGTTACAGGCACAGAAGGAAAAACACAAATGTTGCAGTTGATTTAAGATTCATTATGAAAATCTCAGTGTAATACAGCATTTTATTGATTTTAATTTGTTTTGTTTTTTTTACCAAAAAATAAATAAAACCATTGAAAAAACAAACACAAGTAAACTAGATGGTACTGCAATTTTAAAGTCACCTTTACATTTTTACATTTTTTTAACAATACATTTTATAATCAATTAAAATCAACCAAGTTCCAATATCTATATTTTTTTCCGTTCATAAGGAAAAAACAACACAGTGAAAATCCAAACAATCACAAAATCAAAATATATATTTTTTTTTCAGTTCAGAAGGAAAAAAACAACACTGAAAATCCAAACAATCACAAAATCAAAACGCATGCAAGAAGAAAAAGAGAAGGCGTTGTAAAGTAAACAACAGAGGCCCCGGGTTAGGGTTTATGTCACTTATGAAAAATGTCTTTCCTCATCAACAATCATGGTGCCATGACACCGTGTCAACGATGTTGTGTGATACTTTAACACACATGTACAGTAGGATTCAGCTAACATCTGCTACAGTGTAAAATAATTCACATATCAATTCAGTCCTGCTCCTGCCAAACAACACAGTACATGTATTTAGTCAGTGTCTGTACTGCCTTCGACTGAATCAGTTCAAATACGCTGTAAAAAAAAAAGTCATGTATATAATGTTAGTGATACAGAGAAAAGTCAAAAAGTTCGAAGACAAACACTTCTTAATGGTTAAAAAAAAATCACCCGAACTGGAATGAAAGTCAGCCAGGCGAACACAGAGCTACAAAGCGTTTTTATATACTGATAGCAACACGTGCAATTACAGTCATCCGCCTCCAGGTGGCAGTCTTACTCAGATTAAATCGTTACACGTCCGTCCAAGGAGGTATTATCACATTTACTGCTGTATATACAAATACGGACGGATTAACAGTCTTCATACTTATCACTGCAAACATTAGCTTTGTGATCATGATCGGCGCGCGCGCGTGCGTGTGAATTCAAGTCAAATGCAAAAACTAATTCTGTTTTAAAAAAATGAATTTAAATGCTTAAAAACAATAACAAATATTAGATCAATTATAAAAATAAATGTCAAGTTATACTCTGTACATCATCACAGACACTGCAAAAAAAAACTATCAAAATAAAATAATCGTCTCATTTTATATACATTTTTACGATTTTCTTTTTTCCGTTTTTCCACGAAGAAACGTCTTCTTTTCAACTCCATATTTCGTCACATTTGTATCTGCACAAAAAAAAGCTCACAGGTCAGAGGATTAAAGTCACGATCACTTACAGAAACACTTTGATCACAGGGACGGCCTTGGTGATGATCGTATCTTTCAACCAGCCCCACAGTCGGCTCACCCACAGACTCACACCCAGGTCCGACAAGTACTGGATTTCAGGTGTGAGCATTTTCTCACACACGGTCCTGAATTCGGGATCCACGTTTTCCTTTAAGTTGTACCCCAGGATGGATAGTTCCCCGACGGGCTGCCAGGGCTTGAAATGTCTGTCCCGAATGTGCGGGGCTTCCACTGCACCTCCTCCGTCGATGCAGATCTCTTCCATTTCTGCATTTCTCCTCCTCAGCTCCTCCACCTCACGTTTCATCCTCTCTCTCCCGTACCGCTCCACCTTGGCCCACAGGGTGGCGTTAAAGAACTGGTAGAGTCTCCAGTCGGCGCCGTTCCACTCCAAAGCCTTGGCCCTCAGCTCGGGCGACAGTTCAGACACGGACGAACTCTTCCGAGCATTGAGTTTAAAGTATAAAATGTCCTCCATGCTCCAGCAGAGTTTGTCCTTCAGCAGAATAAGAGACTCTTCGAAGTGTTCCGCTATGAGGACCAGGTCAAAATATCTGTCTAATTCACGGATGTTCTCCGTGATCCGCGGATCGTCGGCCTCCATGTTGTTGTCGAAGCCAAAGTCAAACGAGAGCAGGTTCTTCATGTAGAAGGAGTTGTACCCATCTGGACTGTAGTAGCTCCGAGGATGGTCGAGAAACTCCTGGAGTTTGTTCTCTCCTCTGATGCTCCAGGTGCTAGGAACCACATTGCGGAAGTAATGGAAGGACGACTCGAAGAGAGCCGCCGGGTCACGCAGGATGGTGATGTACATGGCGGTGGGAGGCAGGAGCTTGGAGACCTCCTGGTGGTTGAAGCGCATGTGGTTACAAACCACGTTGAAACAGTCTCCGGGCTGGTAGTCCTTCACCTGGGAGCAGTGGAACGGCGACGGGTAGAAGAAGTCGTTGCGTCCGTCGGGGAAGGCGAATTTCAGATGATGTTTTTCCCCGAATCTGAACAGGATGTTGAGTATGGTGCTGCTGGCAGTTTTGTGGGTCTTCATGAACACGACGTTGAACGAAGGGGAGCAGTCTCCTGACCCGGGTTCGGGGAGGTGAGGAGGTCTGGTCTGATTCTTCTCCAGAGTTCTGGCCAGTCTGAGGGGACACGTGTCTTCAGGAGCGGCCCTGGGGCTGAGGAACATGGGTGAAGAAGAAGGTCATGAGTGACATCGGTGGTTCAACACGGTTCTGTTGTTGGGCTTCAGGGCATGAGTATAACAAACAAATGCTACAGTTTGTTTTGATTTTAGTTTTAGGAAGTGTCTTTCATCTTCTTCCAGACTTTTTTACCATCTGGAAGCGTCTTTCATCTTCTTCCAGACTTTTTTAAACCTCAAACAAACGTCAAAATAAAAGTATTAGACTCTAAACACACTGATGCCCAAGCTGTTCCTACAGCGCCACCCTTTGTAAAGAGGCGTATCACCATCAACACAGTCTGAGCTTTTGAAGTTGTTGTTTTAAAATGTAATTAAATGACATACAATCTAAATATACTGTAGAAATACATTTCTATAGGTTTGGTTTTATGTTCTTTGGCGGTCTACCTGATGGGGGCCGACGTTGGACTGGTGAAGCAGTAGAGAACCAGCATGATGTTGGTCAGGAGGATCCACAGAACCAGACCTCGGATCAGGGCCGTGCACTTGTATCCTTTGATGCCCAACATTTCCGGAGCCGAGTTGACGACCTGGAAAATGAAGACGAGGAGAGTGACTGGAACCAGGTGTTGATCAAACGGAGGAGCTCAAGTTTGGTCTTCGGTCAAGTTGTGGACGATGGCGTAACGACGACACTGACGGAAACTGCTGATTGTTTTTTAAAACACGGGAGATAAAACGACGGCACTGACGGAAACTGCTGATTGTTTTTTTTTCTTCTGTGAAATAAAACATCTTTTTTTTCTTCTGTGAAATAAAACACACGTCCCCTATGTTTACACTGTAAACGTGTTGACGGTTCTAACGTTTCTCAAAACAGACCTGAGAAGAATTTCAGTAAACGTAAAACAGCTGAGTCGTCACTTTAGGGAGGGGTCAAATTTACCCAAACATCAAAGGTCAAATAGAAAACATTTCATATTTTTTAGGCAAATACATAAAAGGACGTGTTCATAAACCAATGTTTTGCTTAGACATAGTGAAGCTAAAGGTTAGTAACTGCCTGCAGCTGGTTATGAAATGTGAAAATAGTCAACTCTAATTTAAAAAAGTGCAAGAAATGTTCAAGAAAAGTCATACATGTTTTTACCAAGACGAACCAAGGCATACATTTAGTTAAAATTTAGCTAAAAAAATTCAAACTAATGCAACAGAAATATAGAAAAAAATAAGAATAAAACTCGCCTAAAGTTAGCCTGGACACAGACGAAAAATATCCCTAATATTGCAATAGTGGATCTAATGGACAGAACTGTATTGGAAACAATGGAAATTACATTACAAAGGGCAAAACTTCCGAATTTAAATGCATATAAAACAGTCATGTTACCAAAAAAGGTTTAATTTACCAAAAGTTAAACATTTATAAAAATGCGCTCAAAATATTCATCATAGTTAAAAGTGAATTTTCTTCCCTGGTTTTGGCTTATAATAAAAAAAATCAAGAATTCAAAAATTAATTTAGCTCCAACTCCAGCTTAAGCTAAAAAAAAAAATTCAAACGTTGACAGAAATTTAGCAAAAAAATACTCATGAATAAAGCTAGCCTAAAGTTAGCCTGAACTGCAATAGTCACAATGGAAAATACACAAAAAAGGTACAAATAAAATGGATATAAAATAGTCATGTTACCACAGAAGATTCGACCTCAAAATGTTGATCATCGTTAAAAGTGAATTTTCTTCCCTGGTGTTGATTATATTCAAATATATTATGACTGGATCAAAGTACTTACAGGTTACAGCAGGTCAATAAGCAAATGATCAATGTTGCCTAATCAAATGATGTGGTGACAGGATGTGTGTGTGTGTGTGTGTGCGTGTGTTTCAACAGCCGTGTCGTCCTGCCCTGATCTGACAGAGATAACAATTAAACACCTCCCACACTTCAAATTAAACTTCATGATAACAATTAAAAAAATAATAATAATAATAACTCCACCTAGTCATGACATAGAAAACAGTCGATCGAAAGAAGACGCCACAGAACCACAGGTTGAGCACAGTCTGAGATTAAAAAGAAAATCACAAAAAAATATATATATTTTTTTACCTGCAGCTGACGGCACTGACAGTCGGGGAGAGGTTCAGTTTTTCATGGAAAGATAGTTTTGTGTTGCCAACACGCTGGAGGCTGCTAATGCTGCGAAGTCAGGGGGCCGTCCCATTGGCCGTGCAGGTGTGGTCTCCTCCCAGAGGGTGGAGCTGTCTGAACAGAGACTCCTGTATGACACAACACTACAAGAACCAGCTCAGCAGAGCAACTTCAAGATGATAAATAATCCTTTACGTATTAGTACATCTGAGTAGTATGTGAGGCATTCGTACTGGTCCTTTAAGTGTAGGGCGCCGTATGTTGATCAACCGCCGTCGCATCTGGTCTTTTTCCTAGAGGTGTGTTGTGACCTATAGTAAAAAAAAAAAAAGAAAAGAAAAATTTCCAAAAATGTTAAAAACTCTGATAGTCTGAGTGGCCTTTGACAAACGTGAGATCGGATGTTCTAAGAACGCCGACCGGGTCAGATTCAACGGTTCCCAGAACTCGTCCGTCCTGTTCTGTCACTCGTATACAGTCGGCTGTTTTGGCCTCGGAGCGTTTCTCACATGTTTCAGATGTAAATCTTGACGACATACCGCAGCTGCATCGTACCTCGCGGGGTCTCCACCTCACTGTTAGCTGTCGTGTTTCTGGCTTCATTTTAATTCTGCTTATTATGGGATAGATTTTCAAACCTCGTTCTCAGAGGTTTGTAAACTTCAAGAACATAATCTCTTTTGTCGGTAACTGGCTTGGTAGTCAAGGAAGTGGACGGTTTCAGGTTCGAGTCCACCGGCTGCCAAATTACCACTGAGGTGCTCTGAGCGTGGCGCCGTCCCCACACACTGCCCCCTGCTGACTGTGGCGATGGCTTACGCAGAGGTCACGTTTCGTTGTGTGTGCGGTGGTGTGTTGTGTCACAACAACAAGGAGTTCACTTTCACTCACTTTCACCTTTGTTCCCAAAGCGAGGGGTGGGGGGGGGGAGCGGGGGGGGGCACCTCCTGAGGGGCACAGGAGTTGTGAACCAGAACTTTAAACACGCTTCAGATGACTTTAAAGTTCACAGCCCAGCTCTGTCGTGCCGTCAGTAGAAAAAGGAACCGATTTTATCAGTAAACATTTGAACGACAATGTTCTTTAGGAGAAAGTAGATAATCGTCAAACAGGAACGTCTCTGTCCAAAGAGGTCACAGGGTCAGGAGGCGTCAACCGATTGGTCCAGCTGTCACTCACTCACTCACACTGACTGCTTTAGCCTTCATTTTCCTCTAAACAATTCTAAGCCTTTGAACATAGAGTGAATTGTGACACAGAACATTGTAACCCATCACCAAAGTGACCAGAGGGGGGCAGTGTGTGTGTAGGGACGGTGTCGTAATCAGAGCACCTCAGTGGTACCTTGGCAGGTGGTGGACTCGGACTTGAACCCCCAAGGTCACAACTGCCCTTAGACAAGATGCGATGGCCGGGAATCGAACCCTCTATACCGCCATCGATCTGGAACCCAACAGACTGTTTCCTGGTTTTATCTCAGGGACTGGAACATTTACTCTGTGACTAATCCTCTCCCGACACACCCCACCATGAGTGTTATAATCCAGGCGGTGGTGGATAATGTGGGGAGTGTGGCGCCATCCACCAGGCAGGAGGTGGAGCTACAGGAGACACAGCTGGAGGAGGTGCTGGGATTCACAACTAAGACTGACCAGGGTGGAGGGACAGAGATCCGGACGGAGATGCAGAGCTGTTGGACACGATGGTTTGGTTTCACAGAGATCGTAGATCGTTAATAACGACCGTTGATAATCATGGCGTCTTCAATTTTAATCATTAAATATTTGTTCACAGGTTTTTATTTCAGTTCAAATATCTCGTCGTTTATGTGTCAGCTGTGCAGGTGGAACACCTGAGTTAAAGTTTACTCCTGTATTTACATCAACCTCTGATTGGTCCTCGGTGAAGGACTTAATGTGCAGGTGGACGCACCACGCCCCGCATTTTTATTGGGTGAGAAAAACCTCCATTCATTCAGACTTGATGCCAAACCCAAACAAAGAACTGAACTGGTCTCAGTGATGACCTTTGGACTCCATCCAATTACTATGAAGGATCTACGGTCAGATAGAGAGAGCTGATTGGCCGTGGAGGGAACTCTAGGGCGAACACGTCATTTGACTCCATTTTATTGTTAATCAATACTCGTGTGTATAAATAGTAGAAAATACAAATATCAGACATCGTGAAACCGTTCAACCAACGTAGTTCAGAGTCGCAGCGACTCCAACCTGACGTTAATGTGTCAGTGTCATTAGAAGAGAAACAGACCAAACCACAAGATGAAAAAAAAACAAAAAAAATAAAACAGTTTTACAACCATGAGGTTCAATTCAGGTTAAAAACTTAACTAAAAAATTCATGTCTGTGAAACTTTTCTCACCAGTAGGAAGGCTGAACACTGCTGACTGAAACTAGTTCTCAAACTGGTTACTGCCTGTTGATGATGATGATGAGCATTACTGGTTAATGATGATTAATTACAGTCTGGCTCCACCACAGTCATGTGACATTAAAGATAAAAGTAAAAAAAAAAACAGCAAAAAAACATTTCTATCTTGTGAAACATCTCAGATAAAACAGCAGCGTTTCGACACCAGTGCAGAATTCCGGCCTCCGAGTCACGCACGACCGCGGGGGGCGAGAGCGGAGACAGAAACCGACGAGGTTTCGATAAAATCAGAGCAAAACTCTCATCTACGGTGATAAACGGTGGCGCCACACCGCCGTCACGTGTGTCACGAAGCAGGGGGGGGGGGTTCTGAGAATAATGGTTTTGGGAATTTCCAGCTGGCAGGGTTGAGGAACAGGAAGTGTTCCGAAGAGTCTGGTACAGTCCCTGGGACCGTGAACACGTCTTTGAAACCAAACAAACGTTACAGTCGAAGACATCAGTGCGGTAAACTACCGTTTGAAATTAAGTCACAGTCGTGTGACAGGAGTGTGCAGTAGTACAGTAATACAAGCATACACTCATACACAACCCGCACATATATTCACACATATATATTTATATATGTGAATATATATTTATATATTTACACACATATGTGTATGTAAATATGTTTATATATTATACATAAAAATACATATATGTATATACATACATATATAAATATATATGTATATATAT